ACAAATACTTGCCCATGCTGCATTACCAAGATAGATGACCAGATGTTGGCCTCTTCCCCACAATAACACCAGATACTGTATTGGGACTGTTGATTAGTTAGAAAATGTAAGATTTGATTATAAAGTGATGGACCTCATTCTTTGAAGAGCTTGGGGAGATCGGTCTCGTTACAGCAACAACACACATGAGGCCCAGTCTTTACAGAACTTGTAAGCTTCTATGTGGGGTCAAAGGTTAATGCCTCTAATGGTGCCAACTTCAACCACTGTTTGCCCCTTCTTATGGGTGTTAGAATCGGCCCAGTCTTACAGGATTTTTCAAAGTCATGTCTGAAGCCGCAGCAATTAAACTGGGTTAGTTGTGTTGCTGGTGTGGTGCCATCAGCTCTGTCAACCGATCAGAAAATCTTAGTCGCCTCCCCGGCCTTTCTCCCTTGATCCCTTTCACTTCCATACATGGGACCTGAATTCAGGCCCATGATGTCTCTCACCTGGAGAAATGCTCCGGTCTCCTGACTGACCCATATCTCAATTCATATGCACGCCATCAGCAGTTACCCTTATAAAAATTAAGAATTTCTAACAAGAATTGATTCCTGGGTCACTCCCATATTCCACTTCTCACCCTCTACACTGACGTACCAACAGTAGCACACCACATTGGATGGGATGGAAAGGAGAAGGCAACCAATCTGGATTGCGAAAATATTAACACAAGACTTCACCTGTAACAACATGCTTAGTAATCTCTTATACAAGGGCTTAATGGCTCCATGGTGAGATATATTAATCTTGCCACGCTTTTAAAGAGTCTTTTTAAAAAAGTAAATTTTTAGTGAATTATTCATAACAAGCAATACAAAATAAGTTAGTTGGGGCCTGCTATTGGGGAGGCTTGGGTGGTTGTTGGGAATATTGGAAATAATGGGAAAGTGTAATGACGGTGGGATTGGTGTTGGAGTATTGAATGTAATGAATCATTGTGAACAACTTTATAAGAATAAAATATATTTAAAAAAAGAATTTTTAAAAAGAATTATTATTCTTAGAGGCATAATGAATACCATACTAGTAAGATGAACAGACATTGATATTTTAGGACATCTGAAGGGTTTTGTGTTTTTGTGGTTTTTGTGGGTTTTTGTTTTGATAGGTAAGGCTCCTCCTCCTCTCCCTTCTCTCCTCCCCCCCACCCCCCCCTTATAGAACTGAGGGCTTTTTGGGTTTTTTTTTTTTGCTTTTGGGTCACACCCAGCAATGCACAGTAGTTACTCCTGGCTCATGCACTCAGAAATTACTCCTGGTGGTGCTTGGGGAACCATATGGGATGCTGGGAATCGAACCTGGGTTGGCCATGTGCAAGGCAAACGCCCTACCCACCGTGCTATGGCTCCAGCCCCTAGGACCAAGTAGTAAAGCCAGGGTTCTACACATGCAAGGCAAGGACTCTACCTAATTTATTATCATCATTCACTGATCACTGTTCACTGTCCTCCCGTTCTTCATCAATTTGCTCGAGCGGGCCCAGTAACGACTCCATTATGAGACTTCTTGTTACTGTGTTTGGCATATCGCATATGTCATGGGGAGCTTGCCAGGCTTTGCCGTGTAGGCGAGATACTCTCAGTAGCTTGCCAGTCTCTCCGAGAGGGACAAAGGAATCGAACCTGAGCCGACCAGGTCGGCCGCATGCAAAGCAAACACCCTACCGCTCTGCTCTTGCTCCAGCCCATTATTATCATTATTAGAAAGAAAGAAAATGCCACCAATTTAATTAGGGTCTCTTTGTTCTCTCTCCTGGCCCCCTCACCTTCCCTTTTTCCTCCCCAGAGGAACCTGCTCTCCTGAAATTGCTAAACATCACTGGAGCCCATGATTTTATAATTTTATTATATGTATACACACATATAATTACTATTACTGGTAAGGTTTTGTTTTTGGGCCACACTCAGTGATGCTCAGGGGTTATTCCTAGCTCTGCTCTCAGGAATCCCGCTGGCGGCTCATGGAGGATCATAAGGGATGCCAGAGATTGAACCAGGGTGGATCAGCAGAGTCCAAGGCAAGCGCCCTACCCACTGTACTCTCTAGCCCCCTTAGGTTCATTTTTCAATTAAAAAGCAAGTAGCTGGGCCAGAGTATCGATAGTACAGCAGTTAGCCCACTTGCCTTGCATACAGCCGCCCTGGGTTTGATCCCTGGTCCACATACGGTCCCGTGAGCTCCCCAGGAGTGAGTACACTGCTGAGTGTTCTGGCCAGAGGTCTGTAGAAAGCATTCATTCTCTTATTGATGGATAGTTGTGTTGCCTGCCCCTCCTCCCGTCAAGCTTTGCTCTTATGAGTGACGCTGCGGTGAACATTCTGGAACATGGGTCTTTATGGAAGTGGTTTTCCAACACTGGTTCTCCTGGGTGGTGACATTTCCCCTTTGATGTTCTAGAATTCGTGAAAGTACATAGGATCATTATTTTTTTGTGGTGGGGGAGGGAAGTTTGGGGGGTTGGGGCCACAGGCAACGGTGCTTAGGGATCACGTCTGTCAGTGCCAGGGAGCAAACCAGGGTGAGTCGTACACAGGACAGCTGCCTTAATTCCTATATTCTCTCACCGCCCCCACTTCAGGTCATTATGGGAGGCACTCGGGGGACCCAGAGGCAGCCTGGAGCCACCAGGCATCCTGCAGAGACTGGGACAGTCCCACACGGGGAAGAGTTGACCCCCTGGGTACAGCTTGTGAGTCTTCCACTGGCACTTCCCATCTGAGCCTGGGACCTGACTCTTTTTCACATAAACCGCATGGATTTGGGGATCAGTTTGCTGGGAAACATTTCCAGGAAAGCAGCTGTCATGTAAATCAAGGGGAAGTCTTGCGTTTCCATGGCTCGGCGCCTCCACAGTATAGCCTTCCCTGGACATACCTGCCTCAGCCACAGTCTGGCTGTGCGCTCGATGCTAAGTTTAGGTGCGAGCATCTGACTGCTATACTCATCAGCTCTTCGGGTGCAGTCAACCTGAGCGCTTCTGTATTTAACATATGTTGTTTATTATGAACTACATTCCGTTGGAAATTGGCTTCTGTAGATGACAGAAAGGAGAGATTTACTTTTATTATTTTCTGATTGGATAATCATTTGTCCAAGCACCATCTATGAAATTCTTTTCCCAAAGGAACGCTAAAGCTAAGTCTGTCTTGTGCAGAGCGCTTATAAGTGCACGGTGTTGCTGGTTCTCTATTTTATCCCTCTGGTCCCTGTGTCTTCATGCCACGATCACACTGTTTTAATTACCTTGGTTTTATAACGGATCTTGCTGAAGTCGTTAACAAGAAAGGCAAGTTCTCAAAATTGTTTTTGCTATTCTTGGACTTTTGCTCTTTCATATTTAGGATCAGTTTCCAAGTTCTACAAAAAAATTATTTTGGGAGCTTGGAAAAGAATTGCATTGCATTGGGTGATTAAAGAACAGTGGAATCTTTTTATAGTGAACCTTTCCAGATAGCAACATGGGTGATGGCGCTATTCAGGCCCCCTTTTCTTTAAACCTTTGAGTACATTTTTATAACTTTTGCTGTAGAAAATGTTACACTTATTTTGTTGAGTTTAGTCCTACTTATAGATATGCATACACAAATCTTTTTTATTTTAAACATTTCGAATCTATTTAAAAATATGAGAAATGGGGGCATTATCCAGCCTCGGCAATGAACACATGAGAAGTTTTGATTCAGGGTCTTGCCTTCTGTGTTCCAGATAATTGGAAAGTTTCTAGAGATCATTTGCCATTATCTGCATTACATCTCTCTCTGTATATAGATATAATATCTTTTAGCACTCTTTCTACTATATCATTACATTTTAGGGGGGAATTGGGCCATACCTGACAGTACCTGGGGAGTATTTCTGACTCTGTGTTCAGAGATCCCTCCTGGCGGTGCCCAGGGGACCATATGGGGTACCAGAAATTAGACTCAGGTCAGGTGCATGCAAGTCCTTACTCTCTGTACTGTCTCCTTCTCTCTGCTCTTACTTTGTATTTGCTAAGTTATCTAGGTCTAAGCAAGGTATCTTAAAATCTCCTACCATGTTTCTTTGTCCATTTCTTGCAGTGATCCTTTCCATTTGTTTGTCTTGTTTTTTATTTTGAGATTTTGTTTTAGATGTCTATTTGTTTGACCTGTAATTCGCTGAATCATTGTAGGACTTTCTTTAATAAAATTTTTTAAAGCTTTATATTCTATTTTGCTTGATCCTATTATTTGAGCTCATGTTTTAATTACTTTAATGTAATTTTAAAAAACACACATAAAACTTAGAGCATTTCCGATCTCGGCTTACTGTTTGCAAAACCAAGATCTTCACTCTGGGGGTTTCCCAGGCTTTTCTCGCCAGTCCCTGGGTCCTTTCTGCCTGGCCGCTGCGTCCCTGGGAGGCAGGAGCTCCGTGCTGGCCGAGCCTAAAACTCTGGGAGCATCTCCGGGGCCTGGAGCCCTCGGTCAGGTCTTCACGTGCATCTTACTGCGTGCAACACTCCCACCCCATTGTGGTTGAACCCACAGCCTGGCAAGGGCTTGGCCAGCTTAGGCAGGTCACACCTTCTGCTTCTGGGACCCCTGGCAGCTTTTCTCCTGCCACCCTCAGGTCCTGCTGCCCAAGGGGGCCGGAAGGTGTGTGCAGGGTCACGTCCCTGCCTGCTCTCCAGTACTTTCATCCCATCAGCCCTCGAGAATGCTGGTGGGGGCTGGGCATGGCACAGGTGGGCACCTTCCAAAGTCCGAGGGGCCTCAGCTCCTTCCTGAGAGTCGGCAGAAGGTGGCCCAGTTTCAGACCACTCGGAGCAGAGCCAGGTGGGCCCACCCTAGAGAGAGGCTTGCAGCCTGGATGTGACTCCCTATGGGGCAGGACGTGGCCTGATCAATTCTCACACACCGGTCAGCAGAGAGTGGGGGGCAGGGGGTCTCTATCGTGTGTATCCAGCGCCGCTCACACTCTCTCCCCTGCAGATGACCAGCATGGTGCTGGGCGTGGGGAACGGCGTCTTCATCATGGCCATGATCTGGGTGTCAGCCATGCTGCTGTGTATGCTACTGTCCAGATCCTCGGGGGTAGCCAGGTAAGACCGCTCAGCCCTGCCGGGGGCAAGCAATCAGAGCAGGACCACTGATGCTCGAAATACTGGACCTCCAGGAGCGGGTCTGAGTTGCACTGTGCACTCACCATCAGCATCAACTCGCCCGGTGAGGCCGAAACCGAGGGCCAGGGAGGGGACGTGGAGTTTTCACCGAAGCGGAGAGGGGGACCAGTTTGGTTTCCATGAGTCTGGCTGCCTGAGGCTGCAGGACCTGCTCCTGAGCTGCAGGGAGGGGAGACTGAGGGAGCACGAACACAGAGGCCAGTGTCCAGCGGCACCTGCCTGGGAAGGAGGGCCAGGCCGGAAGCGGGGTGCAAGGGAAGAGACAGGCCAGGGGGGCCTAGCGGGAGGAAATGACGCAGTGCTCCGAGCGCGGTCCTGTCCCCCGCAGGTTCACCGGTGTCGTCATCCTCATTGGGGCCCTGGTCATCACCTTGGTCCTGCTGCTGCTGCCTCGCGCTGACGAGTTCCCAGAAGCGGTGGTAGAAGCAAAGGTAAGCCCACAGGCCCCGTGTGCCCTTGTGGAGGAGGAGTGGTGCTGGCGAATGGCAGTGAGAGAACATTCAGATTGGGGTGGGAACGATAGTTCAGCAGGGAGGGTGCTCACTTGCACATGGCCAGCCCAGGTTTGATCCGTGGCATCCCATATGGTCCCCCGAGTCCCGCCAGGAGTGATTTCCTAAGTGCAGAGCCAGAACAACCCCTGAGCATCACCGGATGTGGCCCCCAAAACAAGCAAAGAGAAAGGAAAATAAAAAGCACAAATAAGAGGCTGGAGGGAGAGGTCCTGTGAGCCCCAGCTGGAGGCTGGCGTCAGTGGGACTTTCAGTTGGTCTCATGCAGCTCTGTTCCGGGCAGACAGTCCTGGGGAGGGGGGTCTCGGCATGGGGTTCCTGACCCTTGTGTCATGCTAACCTCCACACTCAGGTTGCAGCAGCACTAGGCTGGACACATCCCATGTCTACGGGACCCCCAGGTGCCAGGCCCCGAGCCGAGCACCATATTGGCATGACCTCTCTTTTGGGGGGACTGGAGGGCACCCAGAGCTGCTCAGGGCTGACTCCTGGTCAAGGGACCAAATGGGGTGCTGGGGATCAAGCCCAGGTCAGCTGAGTATGGCCAAGCACCTTGACTCCTAGACTCACCTGCCCTGCGTGACCTCATTCGAATCTCAGGATACCCCTGAGAAGGGCTGGAGCGATAGCACAGTGGATAAGGTGTTTGCCTTGCAAGCGGCCAACATGGCCGACCTGAGTTAGATTCTTCCGCCCCTCTCGAAGAGCCCGGCAAGCTACCGAGACTGTCTCGCCCACACGGCAAAGCCTGGCAAGCTACCCATAATGTACTGGATATGCCAAACACAGTAATAATTGTCACAATGGAGACGTTACTGGTCCTGCTCGATCAAATCAATGAACAAAGGGAGGACAGTGACAGTGACCCCTGAGAAAGGGCAGTGGGCCACAGCAGGGCTTTAGAGCAGTGAGAAAGGCACAGGCTGGCCCGGGCTGCAGGTGCCAGGCCCCTGCTCAGGCCCCTCTAGAAAAGCTTCACTGTGAGTGACACAGCAGAGGAGCAGAGAGTCCTACGGGGTCAGGAGCGACCTGTGAGTCTGTCGGATGGAGACTGGAACAGCTGATGAGCCCAAACCTCATGCCATGTGCCTGTCATTCTTCCTCTCGGCCGACCCAGGGGAGCCACGTGGGCAGTGCAGGAAGGGGTAGCCACACCTGGCGGGCTTGAATCAGATGTTAACCATGGGGGGTGGGGATCCAGCCAGAGCCAGCCGAGGCAAGGCAAGCACCGAAACAGCAATCAGTTGGCCAGAGGCACCAAAGTCCTCATTGGTGGGGTTGAGAATTGGCCACTGCACAGCCCAGGGATCCTAGTACCAGATCAATAGTACATGGGCTGGGCCTGCTAATGAGCTCATTACACAGAGCAACACGTCCAAGGAGCAAGTCTGCAGCTCATGAGAGACGTGTCCAGTCCTGGAACCAAGGTCCAGGCCATGTCCACGCTGTATCATCAAGCTGACCCAGGCTGGAAGTTGGGGCTGGCTCATCTCTGGGGTGGTCCTTTCCTTCCTCTGCCGAGTGGGGCGCCGCTATGACCGAGGATCTTTCCAGTGGTGCTAGAGTGAGTCTGCAAGCCAGGAGACTCCTCTAACAACTGGCCACAAAACGAGTGTCACCAGGCTCACAACAAGGCACTGGCAGGGTTGTTCCTCCAGAAGCTTCTAGAAGATTCAGTGTTCCTGCTGTGCCAATATCTAGGACCCCCCCGCCCCCGTCCCGCCTTCAGGACAGGAGGGGACTCTCTCTCTGGCACTGATTCCTTCCTCATCTCTGGCGCCTGTTTTTGCTTTTAAGGACCCTCTTGGTTCCTTGGGACCCACCTGATTGGCCACCTGCCAGTGTCCCTGATTAACAACCCTGAGTCCACCTGCACCTTTCCTGCCCCCAGCCAGGAGATGAAACAGGAGTTTCCAAAAGTGATCATTTGGGAGCAGTCTTGGCACACACCCCACCATTGCTACCCAGGTGTTTGGGATTCCCTTCCCCATCCTGGCTTTCGAAGCTTCCAGGAGCCGCGTGCCCACCCCTGGCCTTGACCTGTGGTACCGCTCCAGGAGCCTGTGGATTAGGTGCTCTTCCCTCCCCCTCGGAAGCAGCTGCAGGTGGAGGAGGCCAAACCAGTGGTGGTACCAGCTCCCGGCCTCCTGGGTCTCTCAGTAGCCCCTGGTCCTGGGACAGTGGACTTTCGGGTGTCAAGCAGTGTGACTGGGGTGACCCCCTCATTGTGAAGCCAAACCCTCCTGAACTGGAGGTAGGGTAATGTCTTGGGGGTCCACTCTCAGGCACCTGAAGGTGGGGCCAGAGGATCTCTAGATATGGGCACAGCAGGGACACTGGAACCTTCTAGAACCTCCTAGGAGGCACACAGCCCTGCCAATGCCCTACTGCTATGTTTCGTGTGTGTTGAAAATTCTCCAAAGTGAGATGTTAGAGAGAAGCCTTTCTCACCGTCCCCCTGACAATTCACATATATCTGCCAGGTGTCTCCGGCCCCTCAGGAGCGCCCCCAGTCCCTGAATGCCCCACTTCCCCCTCGCTCCCCAGGTGTTACTAGATGGCGAAGGTCTCTCGGGCTCAGCTTGGCCCACTTACCGCGCTGGTGCTGAGAACCTTTGTTCCGATGTTTCTCCCTCCAGATCGTGGACGCGTTCTTCATCTGCCGCTACATCCTGCTGGCTCTGCTCATGTCCGTCTTCCTGGGAAGCGTGTTCCTGCTTCTCGTTCAGCATATCCTGGAGCCCGTCTATGGCAAATCCCTGCGCTCCCACTGAGCACGTGGCCGCCACACTCTGTCCCCTGCCATGTCCCCGGCGGCCAGCGCGCTAGCCCGATGACCTGCAGCCCCTGAGACGTGCCAGCATCCTTCCATCGCAGATCCAAGCCTCAGGACCTGGTTCCGGAAGTGCATTGGGGAAAATTTGCCCAGCACCACGCAGCGGCTGGAAGGCGGACGTCCTGTCCGGTGGTGACCGTCCTGGTCCCAGCCCGCAGGTCAGGGCTGCCCAGGAGGGAAGGGCGCGGAGTCCGGGAGGCCTGTGTGATGGGTGGCCGGTGAGGCATGAATGTGGCAGAGGTGGGGTGCTGCTGAAACCGGGTCCTGATCACAGATACCTGTTGGCCAGACCTACCCGCCCCCCTGGAGAGACAAGTGTGTTCTCCCACTAGATGGCGCTGCTCGTCACATCTCAGAACCCTGTGTCCGTTTGTAACAGTGGAAGTAAACATCCTTTCAGTGCCCAGTGTCATGTGTTTCATCCAGAAGAATGAGTGTTCCAAGACTCAGATTCTGGGGCGTCGGCCTTCTGTCATAGCACTCCCCATGCCCCGAGTTTGTCTGCCCTGGTCCCGTCCCGGCACGAGGCCCAGGCAGGGGGTGCTGAAGTGCCCCAAACCCGTACAACTGTCCTGACTCGAATGCGAGGCAGTCCACTCTGCCGTCTGTCACTCAGACCCCGTCCACCATCCACTGGGACACTCTGGACTGGTTTTTTTTTGTACAGTGGGACAAAACAAACGCCAAAATCCAGCTGCAGTTGTCTCAGAGATGAGAAACAGTGGGGAGGCAAGGGAGTTAGCATCTCGCAGCTGGCCATGGGTACCAGCCTCCTGGCTGGATTCCCACCCACTCATGCCTCAGTGCAAAGACCAGGTCTGGACTTCAGACCTCGCTGTGTGTGTGTGTGTGTGTGTGTGGACTGTTCGGTTGTCTTCCTTAGCTACCCGTCGTCTCCCTGTCCCCAACCCAAATCCTGAAGAGTACGTTTCATGAAAGAATTCTTGATCAGAACTGGCGGCCCTAATGGCAAGCACCGACTTCTCACTGCGGGGCTCACCCCGTCATGGGTTGGTCGCTACAGAGCAGCCATGTTCCAGATATGGGGACTGAAACCATGTGGAAACGGACCTGGAGAAAAACGTGGATTATCCTCACAGGAGCCTGAAAACTCGGAGCTAGGAGGGATTTTATAGTTCACCAAGTTCCATCTCTTATTTCCGTCCCTCCCGGGTCCAGGGGGGAGGGGAGGGAGGGTTCTGGTCTCCACATGCTGAGGTCTCCAGTTTTTCTTAGCAAACATGGGCTGGGCCTTCATCTGAACACCCCGATGAGCAGTCCCCATGAAGTCCCTCTCAGCAGTCAGGGAGGGACATGACAGGGTGATGTGCAGGGTATATGGGTCGGAAAGTCAGGCTGGTGGACCTCGGGCCTCAATATTCCTTACTTATCATTATCTTCCGGGGCCCCAGAAGATGAGAAAATAACGCCCAAAGGGAAAAGAAGGGCCAGAGCGATGCAAATCCAGCACCTCGAAATCCCACGGACAAGCCATCGAGTCTAGCAGAAAAATCTAGAATCTTCAGCTCTCTGAACCCTGGGGCCTGCGCAGATGCTAAACGCAGGTGGCCAGCAGAGGGCACTCCCACGAAGGCCAGCAAGGCTAGCCTGCAGGAAAGTGGGAAGCAGGGGTCAGAGGACCGGAAGAGCCCAGGGCAGGGCGGCTGTGAGTCCCGTGCCGCCCACCAGCCTCTCCGAGGGCCCCATGCTCTTCCCGTTCTTTCCTTCGCACACAGGGAAGTCATTCCCTCTCCCTGCTGTGACAAATTTCCACAGGCTGAGCGGTTTAGAATAACACTGATTTATTGTAGTTGTGGAGGGTAGAAACCTGAGCAAGGCCTGCGGGAGCTAGGACCAGGCCCCACCTTCCAGTTAGAGGCACCCGGTCCTCTGCCTCCCCCCAGCCTCCCCCACCCCCCACCCCCACCCCTCCCTGCAGGCTCTCTGGCCGGAGTCGCACCTCTCTGGGGGAGGGGCCTCCACCCACCATCCCTATAGACAGGGTCTGCCCCTTTGGCTAGTCTGGGGTCCCCCACACTGACATCCACCCAGAGCGGCTCCCCGTCCCCACTGCCCCCCCTCACAGCCCGGCCTCCCAGCGGATCTCTAAAGGAGAAATGCAAAGAGTTATTGCTTTTTAATTACAAGTGCTATTGTAACATCTATAAGGAAGAGCCCTTGAAGCTTAATTGAGACCAAATGTGAAGTTAAATTAAATGAATAACTAATTAACGTAATGCTCCTGCATTAGCCCCGGGTGAGCGCCAGGCCCAGGGCTCCGCAGGTACGGGGGCCCCAGGAGCGGAGGGGCCCGGGGCCCCGGGGTGGGTGCAGAGGGCGCCTGGGGTGGGGCTCAGGTCTGGCAGCGTTTGCCCCGGCGGGGGTGGGCTGAGTGGGGGGGTGCTGCTCCTGCCTGGCCCCTCACCTAGGGCGCGGGTCCACCCTTCCCGGCAGCTGTGCCCCGCTACGCAGCCGGCACCTTCCAGATGTCTCTGCCCTGGGGAGCGCAGCTGTCGGCGGGCCCGCCCTCCCTTCTAGGCCCAACACCGCCGAAAGCGCTGGCAGGGGGGCGGGGAGGAGAGCCGCCAAGGCCCTCTGCTCGGTCGCCGCCCCCCGCCCGGCTCTGCCACGGGGTCGCGGCGCCCCCTGGCGGCGGCCCGAGGCGCAGCAGCGCGCGCACCGCGCTCCTCGGGGCGGGGAGGGGGTTCCTAGGTCCGCCTGCGGCCCCTCCTCCCGGAGGCAGAGTGATCCCGGGGCCGCTGGGGACTCACCCCGGGGGCCCCCTGGGCCTGTCGGTGCACCCACAGCCCCTCGAGCCACGTCTGCGCAGGCTCTGGCCGGCTCACCCGTTTGCCTAGAGCATCGACGCTGGCAATGCCAAGGGGCAGCGGCCCCGGAGGCCTCCGCTGCGGGGCGCCTGGCGCCCGGGAGACGGTTTCACAGCCCTCTAGACTAGACCCCCAGCCGCTAACGGGGGTCGCAGGATGGGTTCAGTGGGGCACCTTCCGGGCCTGGACGTGGAGGGAGCGCAGAGCCGGCCCCCTGCGCCCCGTCTGAGCCCAGGCCCCTGTGCCCACCGCCCCTCAGCCCCTCTCGGGGCTTCCATCCACAGGGCCAGCGGCTGGGGCGGGGGGCACAAGGGAAGCTCCTGGACAAAGCAACAGAGGCAGCGGTGGAGTCGGGTCAGATGCCCATCTATGGTGCGGGCGGTGGGCACAGGGGGCACCCACCTTCTCCAGGCCCGGCTGCCGAGCTCCGCCCAGACCAGGAATCTGAATGAGCACAAGTCCGAGCTTGGCGTCCCCAGGCTGGACCTCATCCCAGGCCCCGCGTCGGTGAGTCCTGGTTCTTCCGCCAGAGTGTCCCCACCAAAGTCCTGCCTGGGGCCAGTCCTGGGGCCTGTCAGAGGCCCGGCCTCAGCCTGGGCGAGTGCACTGTCCTGCCCAGGGGAACACCGGGTCCCCTTCGGGTCTCCCCACCTTCTCTTCCATCAGGGGCCTCATATTTCTTTATACCTGCAGGGGAGAGGGGAGGTGAGGAGGTTCCGCAGGCCCATGCCCGGAGATGGGGGGCAGCCCTGAGCTCCCAACCTCCTCAGCTCTGATCCTGGATGGTGGTGCCCTCTCTCGCCCCCCACCTCAGAGAAGCCTGCCAGGGGCCGGCCCCAGCGCCGCTCCCCACCTCATAGGGAGTGGGGGATGGAGGCGCGCTGTTAGGGGGTTTTGGGGAGGCCTCTCCTGGCTCCAACCCAGTTCCTCGCAAGCTGAGCCCACCCTGAGTTCTAAACCCCATTCTCTTCCCTCTGAAGGTCAACGGCTCCCTCGGGGTGGGGGTGCCCTCACAAAGTCAGACTTACCTCCGGGTGTGTGTGTGTGTGTGTGTGTGTGTGTGTCTGGGCTACACATTCTCCCTGACCTCCCCCCTCCCCAAGGTCTGACCCACGGTGGGTCCCAGAGTCAGCATCCCCCCCTCCCCCAGCCCTCTCTTCCCTGCAGGGTCTCTGCTCTCAGTTTCCACCCCAGGAATAGGCTGCACCTGCTTGAAGGAAGGGGCTCCCCATGCAGTGCTCAATCCCGCTCCGCGGCCAGGCCAGCTCAGATCAGCCAGAGCCTCCTGCTCCAAAGAGCTTGCTCAGCACCACGGTCACCAAGGCTGCCACCACCACCACCACCACCACCACCACCATGCCCTGGGGCTGCGCCCGCCACCAGACTAATTGGCAGGTGCTTTCCGTACACCCACAGGCAGAGGGCCGGGAGCTGAGACAGCTCCGAGGGGAAGGGGCCCCACCGGTCTCCACTCTGCACTGGGGGTGCACGGAACCTGAGCCCTAAGCAGGGGCTCAGCCAGCCTCCGGGGCAGCCCTGACCCTGAGGAAACTTTCCCCAGGCACCGAGCTGCCCGGAGTCTGGGCCACGGACCCCCTGAAAAAAAGAGAAAGTGGGGCCAATCACGGGAGCACAGAGTCTGCATGCGGGCTCGGTTTTCGGGATGCACTGGTCACGGACTTGCGGAAAATACTCACAAAAGTGGTGGGACTGGAGGGAAAGACTATCGCGGGTGGGTGAGGGCCAGACTAGAGCTACGAAGACATGGGACAATGGAGACGGTCAGCGGCCTCTGGGCCTGCATGGGCTGCTGAGCTCCAGGCCAGACCCCGTGAGCTGCGAGGCAGGTGGCGCCAGGCTCTGGGGTCCGGGGACTCACCCTCCATCTCTGCTCAGGGACGTCCGCCAGGCCACGATCTCCTTGTACACCAGCCGGCAGAGGAACTGTGGGGAGGGCCCCGTGAGCTTTGAGCAGGCCCCCGAGTCGCAGCAGGGCAGGCTGGACCCCACCCAGGGTCCCCTGGGTCTCACCAAACAGGCCAGCACATCGGCCGAGATGAGCATGTAGAAGACATTGTTCCAGCCCGTGGGGGAAATGAGGCCAGCCAACAGGGGTCCCAGGGCCGCTCCTGTGCGGAGCGCAGGGTCAGAGAGCGCGTGGGCCCGGAGCCCCTGCCCCCACGCCCCAGGGATGAGCCCGCCAGCAGCACAGCCACACACCGATGGAGCCAGTGCCGTCGATGATGGCCGTGACCGTGGCCAGCGCCTTGGCGTTGCCCTTCAGGCTCTCGTGGGTGCCCTGGGGAGAGAAGGGGAGAGTGCAGGGGGCCCGACCCAGCCTCTGGTGGATGAGAACGGGGGCAACGGGGAGGGGCCCAGTGCTGGGGCTGGGAGGAAACAAGGTAGAGGGGAGGAGAGATGGAAGGAACGAGGGCCTGCAGGCGGCACCCCTGCCTGGCCCAGCCCCCCTTGGGGACCCCCAGCCTGGGGCCACGTACCAGGTCAGCAGAGACAGCGGTGGTGATGAGGGAGTAAGGGCCGTTGACCAGCGCCCCGCAGATGATGAGCATGACTGAGGCGGGAGGGGACAGTCGGGCTGGGGGCCCCATGCAGGCCACCCTCTTCCCCCCACTTCCCCAGGCTGACCCCTCTCCAGGCCTCACCTATAGAGCTGGCTATCCCTCTCTGGCCAAAAGCGTTGTACAGGAACATCTACCATGGAGAGGGGGCATGTCACGGCCACGGGCCCAGCCAGAGTCTCATGAGGCTGGTGTCTAAGACACACCCCCTTACCCCCGCCGCCCCCCTCCCCCCAGGCTTCCACTACCCACGCCCAGTCCAGGAGGCGCCCACTGTCCCCAGCAGGCCCAGGCACCGGGGCTTTCCCACGGCCCTCCCCGGCGTAGTGCGCCCACACCCGCGTACCAGGGGCGCGGCCAGGATGAGCATGACGGTACAGGTGGTGGCACGGCCGTTGGTGTAGTCGGAGACGAGCCCTGCCAGGATGCCACCTGCAACACAGACAGCAGCTCACAGGCCTGCTGCACCCCTGCACCCCACGGACCCCCACAGAGCCCCTGCACACACATACCCATGTATCCCTGCCATGCCCACGCATCACACATACTCCCACCACACCCTTGCTGGCCCTGCCACACCCTGCCACACCCCTGCACTGCCCCTCCCCCGCCCCCAGCAGCCCTCCATACCCCGTGGGCCAGGCTCTGCCCGATAGCACTTCTGGGAGAACCATGGAGTCCCCCTATGCCCCTAATGGAGAGAACCACTGAAGGCCTCCCTGTGGGGTCCCTGGAAGCCCCCTCCCCCACCCCGTCCTGGTTCCCATCAGCCCTGTCCCACTCCTGCACACGGGGCAGTGTCACCTATGATGCCGCCAACGTCGAAGAGCGTGGACAGGTCACCAGCCTCCTTGGCGCTGAATTGAGCTGGGGAGAGCACCGAGGGGTGGTCAGGGGACTGGGGGTCAGCGCTAATGACCCCATCCCAGGAGGTGAGTGCACAGCCGCTGGGCTGTCTGTCTGTCCCCCACCATGCCCAGGGACCTGCGCCAGGCCTCACCCTCCCGCATTCCACATCATCTGAGTCTGTTGAGGAAAAGGGGGCCCAGGAGCCGGCCTGCACTTGGCCAAAGGGACACACAGCCGAGGAACTCCAGACTGGAGTGTTGGAGTTCAGGATCCTGCCCCCTGTGCTTTCTGCTAGCACCCCCGCCCCCCACCCCCCGTGCTCCTGGGGAACAGAGCCCACAGCAGGTGGGGCCTGCGAGTAGAGGCTCGTCCTTGGGCACTTGGGGAACCCTAGGGAGGACCCCAGCAGCCTGGAGGTGGCCTTTTCCTCCTGCTTGGATGCAAAGTCGGGGTACCCTGACCCCGGACTGTCCCCTGACACCCACGCCTCACCCACGTTGAAGATGTAGAGTGGCAGCCAGTACAGGAAGGTGTAGCTGACCAGCTTGGCGAAGAGCAGACACAGCGAGAATTCCACCACGCCCTGGGAAGGAGGGCTTGTGAGGGGCCGCCCTGACCCCCGCCGCCCACCCCTCCCACCTTCGACCATCCGCATGCAGCCCTCACCGGGATGCAAAGCGCCCCGAAGAAGCTGATGGCGGCGGGTTGAGCACCCGGGTCCTTGTAGCCTCCTGCCGCCACCTCCGTGCAGCCCTCCTCCGCGCCAGTGGGACTCGCCTCTGGGGCTTCCTGAGAGAGGGGCACCCTGGCTGTGGGCGGGCGTACACACCCCCACCTGGGAGCAGGGGGACCCACCCCGAGCTCTAGGGGGCTGCTGGGGGGTCGGGGATGGGGGGCAGAGGGTGCCCAGCTGCCCACTGGGGCCGGGGTCTGGCGGGCCGGGGTTCACGCTCACGTGGTGCTGAGGAGGGGTGCAGTCCACGTCTTCTGGGTCTGCAGAACAAACCGCACTGAGCTGCTGCTCCACAGGCTCCCTCCCGCTGGGGAGCCACACACTGGTAAACTGAGGCTCCCCATCTCACATCTGCCCTCTCCCGTCACTCACACTCGATGAGGAAGAGGAAGGTGAAGAGACCCATGGCGGCGATGATGGCGCCGGGCACCACGAAGGACAGCCCCCAATCCCCGTTCACCCAGACGCCGGCTATCAGGGAACCCAGGATATTGCCCACAGACGTGTGAGAGTTCCAGATGCCCATGATGAGCCCCCGCCTGCGGGAATGAGCGAGGATGGAGGCAGCGTCAGGACCAGCCCGGCACACGGGCACACAGAATACACGCAGAAAAACGCACACAGAGAAATGCACATAGAGAAACACGCACAGAAAAATGCATGCAGAGGAACACAGAGAAACATGCACAGAGGCATACACGCACAAAGACACATACACAGAAATACATGCAGAGAAACACACGTACATGCAGATAGAGGCTGGCCTGTCTGCTCAGTTACACTTCCAGGAGCCAGTGGTGAGGCCGGGTGCTGCTCCCGTCGGCTGCCCAAGCACAGGTGAGCCCGCACCACCCTCTCTGCCTTCTGCCCCAGGAAACAACTAGGAAGTGCAGGGCTGTACCAGGCCTTTCCTGCCACGTGTGCGCGCGTGTGTGTGCACATACAGGTGCGTGTGTGCAGGGGTGCGTGTGTGCAGGGGTATGCGTGTGCAGGGGTGAGAGTGTATCTGAAGAGATACGTGTGAGGGGTGTGTAGGCAGAGGTGAATATGTGTGTAGGTGAATATGTGTGCGCGTGTGCAGAAGTGAGTGTGTGTGCAAGGATGTGTGTGCATGGGCAGGGGTGAGTATGTGTGCGCGTGTGCAGAAGTGAGTGTGTGTGCAGGGATGTGTGTGCATGTTCAGGCGTGAGTGTGTGTGCGGGAATGTATGTGCGTGTGCAGGGGTATATGTGCAGGGATGTGTGCGCGTGAGCAGGGTGCGTGTGTGCAGGGGTGCATGTGTGCAGGGGTATGCATGTGCAAGGGTGAGAGTGTATCTGAAGAGATATGTGTGAGGGGTATGCATGTGCAAGGGTGAGAGTGTATCTGAAGAGATATGTGTGAGGGGTGTGTAGGCAGAGGTGAATATGTGTGTAGGTGAATATGTGTGCGCATGTGCAGCAGTGAGTGTGTGTGCAGGAATGTGTGTGCATGGTCAGGCGTGAGTGTGTGTGCAGGAATGTATGTGCGTGTGCAGGGGTATATGTGCAGGGATGTGTGTGCGTGAGCAGGGTGCGTGTGTGCAGGGGTGTGTATGCAGGAATGTGTATGTGAAGGGGTGTGTGTGCAGGGGTGTGTGCAGAGGTGTGTTGCCATCCTGTGCAGCTGGCTGAGGGTGCATTGAGTGCGCAGTGAAGTGACACAGACCGCACCCCCTGCCCCTCCCACCCTGGGCTGCCCCCCATGCCCCTCTTATACTCACTTCCCCTTTCCAAACCAGTGACCCACACAGGCCACCACAGCAGGCCAGCCCGTGGTCTGGGCGAGTCCATTGAAGATCTGCAAGGGGTGGGCATGGGCCTGAGTCAAGGTGCCTTCCTAGGTTCTACATCAGAGTGGGGGCCCAAGTCTATACACACACACACACACACATATGCATGCATGCACATGCACATGCACACACAAACATACATACACACACTCACACACCCCCGTACACACTCAAACACCTCTAGATTTCTCCGCTGATTTCTCATCCTTGCAAAGACTATGCCTAGGACCATGGGGTCTGGCATAGGAACTGGGGCGGGGGGGCCCAGTGCACTCACTGCACCACCAAATAAAATGCTCAACTACGGGAAGCTGGAGCTACAGGGAGTGTCCAAGGGGCGCAGGGCTAAGACTGAGCACTGTCTCTCTGGGGCAACACCAGCAAACCCCACATCCCTTCCGGGGCGCCAGGGCCATACCTGGACCAGCACGAAATACCAGAGCACGTGGATGTCCCAGAAGTAGGCCAGGCCCAGGAGCGAGGTGAAGAGGCCACTGAGAAGCATCCCCGCCGACAGGTAGTAACGCAGTGGGAGCCGCTCCCCAAAAATCCCACTGAGGAGAGAGTCGGCGTTGGGGGGACGGCCCGCACCTGCAGCACCAGGTGACGTCTGTGTGGCCACACGCAGGGCCCCCCGCCCCCACCCTCATGTCTCCGGGCCCCGACAGAGTAGGGTAGGGACATGTGGTAGCAGGTGTAAATCAAGAAGGCGATCAGCAGGATGAAGCCCCGGTGTGCTGGGTGGAGAGCACCCTCACCTGATGAACATGCCGACGGCGTAGGCCACGAGGAAAGCATTGTCCACGCCCCCCAGCAGCTCCTTGTAGTTGCTCTGGTCTGGAAGTGGGTGCGGGGTGGGAAACAGGTGACTGGGCTGGACCCCCGAAAGGGCCCCCCGCTGCTCCTTGCCACCCGCCCAGAGCGGCACTCACCGAAGGGGGCCCAGCTGCACCACGTGGAGTCGTTGAGGTCATGGCTGTCATTGTCGGGGGGGATGAGCGCTGAGCAGTTCTGATGCAGGCGGCTCTGCAGAGGCCATGGGGACACGGGGCGGGGGGGCTCAGCCGCTCCTTCCCCGCCACACCCAGTGCAGGAGCAGGACAGCGGCCCACATGTGCAGCCCAGGGGGCCCCTCCGCACCTGCCACCCCCGCGGCCAGGTGACTAAGCTCCAAGGAAGCAGGGAGCACTGAGAGGGGAGCAGCTGCAGGTAGGAGGCAGCCAGGTGGAGAGGCAGGCTCGGCCGTGACCAGGGACAGGAACCCTTTGGCAATGGGCCGAGTTCCGGAACATTCTAGTATCTTTCTCTTGGAGGGCCCAGATCATCCCTGTCCCTCCATCCCTGCAGGTCAGGCTCACCTTGACCACACTGATGGGCTTCCGGGACATGTGGTAGCAGGTGTAAATCAAGAAGGTGATCAGCAGGATGAAGCCCCGGAACCTGCAAGGGGCCACAGCAGGGGGTCGGCAGGGGGTCGGGTCCCTGGGCCTCACCCCACCCTCAGGCTCCCGGCAGGGGATTCGGGCAGGGCAGAGACACCCAGATCCCCTCCCTGCTCCTGGACTTCCAAGAGCATTGCTGGGAGGAGCGTCTCCCCGCCCCCCAACCCTGCACGCCATGTATGCATGCGTCCCTGTGTAAGCGCACGCACACACCTGTGTACATGCATGCATGCCCGTGTATGTGTACACACATGTCTGCATGCAAGCATGCCTTGTGCCTGTGTATGTGTATGCCTGTGTACATATGCACACATATCTGTGTACATGCACACATGTGTGTCTGCTTATATGCTTACGTGTCTGTGTACGTGCACACATATGTATCGGTGTATATACATGCGTGTCTCTGTACATGCACACGTGTATGTCTGTGTACATGCACACATGTGTCTACGTACATACATACACATGTGTCTGTGTGCATACTGCACACAGACTGGATTTTAACACAGCAAGTATGGCAGCAGCTGGTGGCAGCGTGGAGAAGAGCCTGTCGGGGTGAGTCACCACCCTGGAGGGAACCCAGAGAACCAGCAGCGGCCACATTCCAGAGCAGACCCAAGGCCCCCTGCCGGGGGTGGCCACTGCTGGAAGGTGCTGACGGGCCCCAGGGGTAGTCCAGGGGCAGAGTGAGGAGGGTCGTCCTCCCCGAGAGTGCTCCTCAGGCACCCGCCCGTGGCAGAAGGAAGGTTGGAGCTGGTCACTGCCCTCTGAGTCACCGCGGCGGCCCCACTGCAGCAGCGTCAGCTGAGCTGAGTCAGCCCCGAACCAGGAAGTATCCCCAAGGACCTTCGCCAGACCCCCAGCTCAGACACAGAAGTATGATGCCCCCGTCTCCCTGCCACCCTCGGCCCCGTGGGCCTCCTTCTGCCCACTCAGTGCTGTGCGGCCCCAGGTGTGTGCTGGGGGTGCCTCAGGGCCCCTCCTCGTCCTCTACACCGCCCCTACCCCTTTCATCTGAGAATGGGGGTCTGCGGGCTCTTTTCCGTTCTGTAGGGGTCAGTCCCAGGTTTGAGGGCCCAGCCGCACCTCTACCCCACCAGCTGGCTCCCACGGGACACACAGGCACGGTGTCATTGTGTGTGCCAGCCGAAAAGGGGCTGGACAGCACTTGGTGGGGGGTGGGGGGCTTCAGGCAGGGGCCACACTGGGCTGCCCCACGCAGTGATGGAGGGAATATCAGAGAAAGGTACCCTGGAGGAGAGGGCCAGGAGCAGCGTGGCGGGAACACGCCTGTCCCCCAGATCATGGGAACACAGAAACCCTGATACCCCTTTTGCCTGCTCATCCGTGCCTGCACCTGGGAGCCTGCAGGGAGCAGGGAAACGGGTTGGGGGGGGGGCGGCGAAGCAGAAAGGGAAACTCTGGTGCACACAGAAAACCAGACACCCCAGGAAGCAGGCTGAGGGCAGGACTCTGTGTGTGGAGCTGAGCCGGGCTAGGCCTCCTGTGGGCCCCTCAGCCTCCCGAGAGCCAGGCCACAGTGCCATGGTGCCACGGACATGGGGCCTTGCCCCCCGGCTAACAGCTGTCAGGCCCCCCGGGCTGGCACGCGTCTCCCTTCTTGCTCTCTGCAGTCCCAGGGCCCCGGGGGGGACAGTCACAGCTAGGTCCCAGGGTAGCGGGGAAAGCAAGGCGGGTGCACACCCCCACTGACCACCCACAGGGCTGCTTCCCGTGGCCACTGGGCCCTGAGTCATGAGGGCCAGCAGAGAGCTGGACAGTGTCGATCCAAAGGGAGACTGAGCTCGGAAAGGCCCAGTGTTCCCAGAGGGGCACCCGAACCAGCGAACCCCTGGAGCCACTCCGGCCAGGGCACGCTGGCAAGGTGGCCGCCCCTGCATCTCTGTCCAGCCTCCCATCTGCAAGCCAGGAGGGCAGGAGCAGCCCTGCCACCGCTGCTCTGAGATGGCTCGTGGCCCCAGCACATGGCTCAGGCGGGGCTGGCCGTGGCTACTGCTGACCTAAGACCCTGCCCCGAGAAGTGGACTTGTGGCCAGTCCCGGGTTGTGCTCAGCAGATCGGAAAAGGACAGAGGGCCAGGAACAGACAATACCAGGTCACATGGCCATACTGCCACCATGGCCGCTGCCGGTGGGAAAAGGTCAGACTGGCCCGGATGTGACACCTGGACTCAGCTCGGATGGGCAGCTCAGGGCAGGCCCCACATCTGAGCGTAGCTGGGGTGTGGGACCCTGCCAGGGACTTAGGAGAGGAGGGCAGAGCGCACCCCACGCCCGCACCCCAGGGCCTTGCGCCCAGGCCCTGCGCCCCGCGCAGAGTGACTGGGGAGGAAGCCCAGTGGGTGGTGTGCTGAGACAGCAGAACCCATAGCCACAGCTCACCCGCCTGTTGGCGGTTACGGGGAGGCATCCAGGCGCTGACTCGGCCCTTCAGAGTGAGGCCCGGGGTACTGTCGGGGAGGCAGCTGCGGGCCCCTTCTTGGGGCGCTCTCGTCACCCCTCCTTCTGAACAGGAAGGATGGGACCGGCAGGAGGGGGGGTGCTGGAGGGTGTCCTGGGCCTTGGGGACTCTGGGGGGGTCCGTCCTCATCTCCCTGTGATGGGGCACCTCCACTCCAGTCTCAGTGGCCCTTCCACCCCACCCTGTGGCCGCCTGGGGGTGGGGGTGGGGGCTGAGTGGGGGAGGGGCCGTGTCCGTCTCAGGAGGGAAAGAGGAAACTGTGGGAGAGGGGGGAGAGGAAGTCTGGTCGCTGGCTGCCAGTCACATGCTCTGGAGGACCACAGGGCCCCCAGCCCCCCTCCGAGCGCCCTTGGGAGCCTTCCCCAGCCCCCAGCACCTCTGCGGGACCAGTTAGCCCAGAGCAAGAGGGCCGGGCTGGGGGTCGCGCTGACTCAGGGACTGAGGCCTGAGGGGACTGATCTCAGACCACTGGGGGTGACCCTGGGCGGGGTTTTCACCTCCTCAAGCCTCGGTTTGCTTGGGAGGATGGCAAGCTCCTTCCTCACCAGGGCTCTGTGGAGACGGGGGTGTTGGGGAGCCCGGGCCAGCTCAGGCGGGCACCTCGGCCTCCTGTAGGGTGAGGGTGTGGGGGGAACACACAGGGCCCGCTCTGCCGGCCTGCCCGGTCCCCCACCCCCGCCCGCTCCTCCAGACGCCCCGGCCTCTCCTACACGCTTCTCTCCCACTGGCGGGGAGTGCCAGCTCCAGCTTCACCAGCCGCTCACGTCCCTGTCTCCAGTGCCCCCAGGCACGCCCGCACAGATGCTGGCACTGGAGCAACGGGGGAGGCGGGCGGCTGCACAGAGCCAGGACACCTCCCAGGAGCCTGCTGGGAGCTCCCGGCCTCTGCAGGCCCAAGGCCGCGCTGGGCACAGCTGCCTCCCCCAGCCGGCAGCCCCATGGTCCAGAGGCCTCCCTCCTTCTTTCCTCCCACGCCCTACAGAAAAGGGGCGAGGCGTCAACCACCCACCCAGAAGCCTCTTCCCAGAGACAGGACGGTCATCTGGGCAGGAGGATGGTGGACAGACCAGGCCGGGGCCCTCAACTGACCTGGACGCCTTTCCACTCAGCTTGCCGCAGGCTGTGTGATGCAGACAAGCTGCCTGGCTTCTCTGGGCCTCACTCTGCCCACATCTTCCCCCCGGGGAGGGACAGACGCTGGAGAAAGTACCCCGCAAAGTGTCCGGAGCGAGGGCGGAGGGTGGTCTGGCCTCGGGTCAGTGGCCTGGAACTGCCTGGAAGGTGGCGCCATCCCAGCGCCTCATCCGGCCACCCCGCACCCAGGCACAGCAGTGCTGGGACCCTAACTCAGGGGACCCAGAGCTCAGGGCCAGCCCTGCCCCCCGGGGGTGATGCTTTCCCTCTGCTTCCGGCCCCACTCCCCTATAGAGGCTCTGTACATAACAGGACCACAACTGTCCTTGGGGACCTCCAACGTCTCTCATGGACAAGGACGTGACTGGCCGCGGAGTCTCATCCCCGGCACTGCAGTTTTGGACATTTTTAATTTTACCTGGGCTGTTCCCGCCCTCCTTGGATTCTGGTTGAGCATATTCTAATTTTTATTTATTTATTTACTTATGCTTTTTGGGTCACACCCATCGATATTCCTGGCTCATGCACTCAGGAATTACTTCGGAAGGTGCTTGGGGGACCATATGGGATGCTGGGACTCGAACCCAGGTCGGCCACGTACAAGGCAAACGTGCTACCCGCTGTACTAGCGCTCCAGCCCTGGTTGAGCAAATTCTAGATCAGACCTTCCTCGGCGCTTTGTCACCGCAAACCCCCTGCCCAGGTTCTCATGCAGTTTCCTCTGGGACACATCCCAGCACGTCATGGAAGCCAGCCTCAGGATTTTTACATTATCCTAAGATGGTGTCCTTCCTCTATAAAAACTGAGCACAGAGTTGGAGAGTCGTGAGCCATTTGGAGGGTCTTATAAAGGTGCAGTGACTTAGTTTATCAAAATCATGACCACAGATAGTAGGACGCCTCTACGCTACAGCAAAAATGAAAAGAAATGAAACTGTATGCATCCATTTTTACCCATGAGGTGGAATATTTTTTTTACTTGCAATCTTCTTTATATAGCCACGTAATAATTTTTGACCTCGTCTAGATTGCTTTTGGCTGGGAAAGGGGAGGGCTTTATTTTTTCTTGCACGCCTCAGGAACAATGAACTTACTTGTTGGCTGCATTGTCCTGCTCATAATTTCTCGGGGTACCTTTTGGGTTTCTGTCACCTACAGAGTTTTAGAGTTTTCGCTTGACTCCAGTGGTTCCCAAAGGCTCTGCAGTGAGCCAGAGGCCAGTGCTCTCATCTTTTTTTTTTTTTTTTTTGCTTTTGGGTCACACCTGGCAATGCACAGGGGTTACTCCAGTCGCTACACTCAGGAATCACTCCTGGTGGTGCTCAGGGGTCCATATGGGATGCTGGGAATCGAACCCAGGCCGGCCTCCCCACTGTACTATCGTTTCAGCCCTTCCCCAGTGCTCTCATCTTTCCCTCCCAAGAATTCTCTTCATGAAGCACTGCACTGAGCACTTGTTCTTTCTTCTGATGGAACAGTTTTGACAATGTGAAGGACCCGCCAGATAAAGTGAATGGGAGAAAATATTCACCACCAGACAAAAACACAGACATAGGGGGGCTGGAGCGATAGTACAGCGGGTAGGGCATTTGCCTTGCAAGCGACCAACCCGGGTTCAATCCCCGGCATCCCATACAGTCCTTCAAGCACCGCCAGGAGTAATTCCTGAGTGCAAAGCCAGGAGTAACCTCTGAGCATTGCTGGGTGTGACCCAAAAAGCAAATATATATATATATATATATATATATATATATATATAAAGGTAAAGGCCCTCCCATTGATCGTCGATTTGCTCGAGCGGGCCCAGTAACGTCTCCATTGGAGACTTTGTTGTTACTGTGTCTGGCATATCGAATACTCTCGGTAGCTTGCCGGGCTCTCCGAGAGGGGCGGAGGAATCGAACTCGGGTCGGCCGTGTTGGCCGCTTGTAAGGCGAACGCCCTACCCGCTGTGCTATCTATATATAAACAAAGGAAGCACTCACAAACCTCAGCAGCCCCAAACAGGGTCCCCACCCCCATCAAAAACGGGGAGAGGAACTGAACAGACTTTCTCCGAAGCAGATGTACAGATGGCCCACAGGCAACCCACAAAATGCTCAGGGTCACAGGTTAGCAGGAAAACACAAGCCAAAATGAAGGCTTGCCACACGTCAGTGAGAACGGGCTGTATCGAAAAGTTCTGAAACAACCTGTGCTGGAGGGAATGTGGTGAGAAAGGAATCCTCATTTACAGACTGTGGAAAAATCAAAACTAGAACTTCCACATGACCAGTGATTTCTCCCGCTGACGTCTATCCCAAGCACACACACAAACACCCGTCAGAAAAGATAAAGGCACAGCCCGATATCTCTGCAGTTCTGTCTGCAACCGCCAGGATCTCAAGCCGGCCCAAAGACAAGACAAAACAGCCGAGCGGAGGGAGGAGACGGGCGAGGGACACACATGAACCCCCACGCTGCTGGGAGGGAAGAGGAAACTGTGCATCTGACTATGACTTGGATGGAGCTGGAGGGGACCGTGTTAAGTGACGTGAGTCAGAAGAACAAACAGAGGATGATCTCACTCAGCTGTGGAGTAGAAAGAAACAATGCCGGGGAATCGACAACGGCCAATGGAAACAAGCTCTGAGCTTCTGCCAGCAGAAATGAGCTCGTCAAAGCAAGTGGGAGGCAAGGCAGAGAAGGGAGAGACGAGGAGTTTGGCAATGGGTGGGGGACAGTGACAATGCATGCCTAAAACACTACTATTAATACTATCATAAATCATGATACCAGAGAGAGAGAAAGAGAGAGAGAGAGAGAGAGAGAGAGAGAGAGAGAGAGAGAGAGAGAGAGAGAGAACATTCCAGCAAAGTCAGGATTTCCAGAACTTTTTCATCAAGAAGTTGGATTTATGGGGTTACTAACCCAAAATTCCATGGAACCAGACTGAGTCACATAGCACCAAGTGAAGGGAGCCAGTGGCTGGCATTTGTCTTTGGGGATACTGGTGACGCAAATTTCCTGGCTACTGAAAGAAGCCCTTTGTCTTCCTTCTCATGCTATCTGTAATCCATAGAACGTTAATAGATGTTAGTTTTTGTGTACCAAAAAGAATCATTTGCCAGGGTCTTATTTTGCCTAGTAAGATGTCTGCAAATGAGTGCTCTTCAGAGGAGCTTGGTTGCAAAAGCTCCCTCGCAATTTGTCCTTTTTAACCAGGACATAATTAGAAAAGTTGGTTATGCAATCCAGGCCTTGCCTGGCAAGTTCCACTTGACAATGATGCTCACTTAATCAGATCTAAGCGGCCTGTCTGAGGGAACACAGGTTGACTGTATGAGGCCAATACTAATAAGTCAAATGGTTTCCTGTGTCCTCTTACATACTCCTATTAAAGGTCACTCCTCGGCAGGGCCAGGAGCTGTCATGCATTTCGAGAAGCTCAAGACAGGGGAATCCCGCTGGAGAGATAGTATAGCAGGGAGGACACTTGCCTTGCAAGGGGCCACCTTAGGTTCAATTCCCGGCATCCCATATGGTCCCAAGCCCTGCCGGAAGTGATCCTTGAGCACCACCAGGTGTTCCCTTCTCCAAAAGAAAAAAAATGCGGGGGAGGTGAGAAGGGAAGGGTAATTTGTCCAAATTTATTAGTACAACAAATTTATTTGTCCAAATTTATTAGTACAACAGGTGAGGTAAAGTCAGTGGAGACCATTTCTTGTCTTAACTTTATGATCTTTGAACAGTAAATAAGTAAGAAGATAAGAAAACCAATAAATAAGAAAATTTACAGTGCAGGCCTAGGACATCTGCCTTGCACACGGCCCTCTGGGTTTGATCCCCAGCACCCCTGAGGGTCCCCTGAGACCTGCCAGCAGTCAGCCCTGAGCACAGCCGGGTGTGGCCCCAATGCAAAAAAAAGTCTGGTCTAAGACCCCAGCAGCATGGATGGCACGGACCTGCACTGTGGGAATGGATCTGCTGCACCCCCAGAGAGGAAATGATTGGGGAGACCTAAGCGAACAGCCCGCAGTCTGAGATCAAGAATATGTGCCAGCAGAGACAGGGAAACTGTGTGCGGCTGAAAGCCACCCTGTCCCCGCTCAGGTTATCTGAGTGGAACCTGACATCCACCCCGAGCTGCTTAATAACGCGTTGACCGGGAGCTGAGGGATAAGCATCAAGGACTGTCGTTTCCTTCCTAGTCCGAGGGGAAGCTGGCTTTGGCTCACGGCCCAGCTATCAAGGTGCCTGGGCTCTGGGCTCTCTCCTCAGTGGTGGCAAAACAGCGGGGATGACCCTGTCCCCCATCCTTCCAGCAGCCAGCCCATCTTCCCCAGCCACGCCTCCCTGCCCCACCAGGTTTCCTTGGGGGTCCATTAGAACACCGCTGACCCTCATTGTGGGAGAAATTTGTTAACGAATTTGTTAGTGGGTGCCCACATTTCTAGCCTTAGGAGAGGGAGAGCTTTACTGGGTCTTTGAAAAATACCCCCCCCCCCCCCCGTTTTGGGTCACACCTGGCGATGCACAGGGGTTACTCCTGGCTCTGCACTCAGGAAATACTCCTGGCGGGGCTCAGGGACCATATGGGGTGCTGTGAATCAAATCTGGGTCGGCCACGTGCAAGGCAAACACCCTACCCTCTGTGCTATCGCTCCAGCCTCGAAAAATACCTTTGAACAGAAGCCCCCAGGCGAAAGGGATCCAGGTGAGCAAAAAGTGAAGCCCCTGGGAGCGTGGGGGCTTGTGGGGAAGCTGAAAAGCCGTGGGGTCACCGGCCACTCCGTGTGCACAGGACTAGGGGGCAGGCGGGGCTGAGGCCCTACTCACCCTACTGGGCCCCTGCCCTCTCTTTGGGGGGTTCTTCGGAACCTGGGCAGGGCGGGGAATTGAGACCCAGTACTGCTCCACTGCGTGCATGAAGAAGCGGGATCTGACTCTGAGTCACTTCTGTCACCTGTGGTGGCACTGGCAATTGCTTTACAAGCACCACAAGCAAAGCCCTCCAGTGTGTGGCTCCTGAGGCTTCTGAGCCTGCCCACCATGCCCCCGGAAGGAAATGACAGTGGAGCGTCTCCCACTGTGGGACCACATGGGCCTGGCATCGCTCCAGGGATTGAGGTTCAGACCTTGGTGTCACCCAAGGACACCTCCAGGGGCAACCAACAGCTCCATTCCCCCCCCCCCCCCAGCTTCTTCTGAGCTCCCAGATATGAAAGTGAGGTGCTCAGAGCCCGCGCCTGTGTGTGTGTGTATGTGTGTCTGTCTGTCTTGGCCATCCGTGGAGAGGGGGATGATGGAGTATCACCCATCTCTCTGGCTGACACCAGAGAAATCAATCAGGTCTCACCAGAGTCCCTCTGCCACCCCCCCCCCCCCCAATATATGCAGTCACACCCCACAGGCATACAGGCAAACACACATAGGGCCCGAGGCGCTGCCAGCCCTGTGCTCACCAGCTGTCCCGGGAGAAGTTGCGGAGGAAGTAGACTCCGGGAGCCAGGGAGGAGCGCATCTTGCCGGGAGGACGTGGAGGGGACACAGAGGGGACACGGAGGGCTAGGGCCGGGAGCTGCAGGGAGGGCGTGGGGCCGGGGTGGGGGGCTGCCCCGAGGGGTGCGGGACCAGGGGAAGGGCTGCCCCGAGGGGACGCGGGCGGGGGGGAGGGGTGGCGCACTGCACGAAGGTCGTGGGCCGGGGAGTTGTCCCAAGACGGGAAGGACGCGGGCCAGGCCGGGCCGGGAACTGCACGGCGGGGCGGGCGCGGGTCCGGGAGCTGCCCCGAGAGGGCACGGGCCGGGGAGCTGCAGGGAGGGCGCGGGCCGCGCCGGGAGCCACTTGGCGGGCGGGCGCGGATCGGGGAAGCTGCCCCGAGAGGGCGCGGGTCCGGGGGGGTTGCAGGGAGGGCGCGGGGCTGGACCGGGAGCTGCACGGCGGGGCGAGCGCGGGCCGAGCAGTGGTGGCCGCAGTTGCGGGCAGCGCCGTTTAAATGCCCCGCCGCCAGGCGCCGGCTCCCAGCACTGCTGTGGGCGCGGCGCCCCCGCCCCCTCGCAGCTGACCGCCCGCGGGGTCAGGCGGGGCAGAGTTGGCCCAGCCCCGCGCACCGCGCCGCACTCGCGCCTTCCGGGGCGCACCCAGGCCAGGGCTGGGCGTGCGTGTGTGTGTGTGTGTGTGTGTGTGTGTGTGTGCTTTTGTGTGTGCGCACACGTGTGTTCTTGTGTGTGCATGTGTGCATGTGCGCATGTGTGCGCGTATGTGCATGTGCGTGTGTGCATGTGCATGTGTGTGCATGTGTGCATACTTGTGTATGTGTGTGCGCCGTGTGTCTCTGTGTGTGTGCGTGTGTGGGGGGGTTTGCTACTCTGTGGGCTGAAACGAATAGCTGCTGGCTGGAGGGTCCTCCCTGTCCCCTCACCTTTACACAGATGAGCCCCGGGCTCGCCCCTTTGGATGGTCTGGATGGGGTTCCTTCGTGCTCAGAGACTAGCCTGCAAGAGGGAGGGGTGCTCACTGTTCCACTCCTGGGCTACAAACCCTGGGGTGTGGTCCCTGCAGGCACCCCTCGGAGCAGGCGCTGGGGACCCTTGGATGGCCGGCCTTGGCAGGGCTGGCAGACTCTAGCAAAGATTCCTACAGGGGACCAACGTCCGGAGGGTGCTTGCCTTGCAATTGACCAAGCCGGGTTTGATCCTGGGTACCCCAGGGGTGGTTGAACCCTGCGCACTGAGCCAGGAGTCAGCTGCGAGCACTGCCAGATGTGGCCCCAAAAACAAACAAAAAGAGCTGTCCAGCCCCGGTGGCTGGGGACAGTGCTTGGAGCTGAGCACCAGACACTTTACATGGATGGGCCTGGCCGCCCACCCCAAGGAGGAGGCTGTAACTGAGAGAGCTGGGCGAGAACTAGGGGTGAGCTGTTCCCTGGGAGAGGGAAGTCCTGATTTGAAGAAGCCGCTGGGAGCCAGCCTTGCCCTGCCCTGCTCTCTCTCCTCGGCTGCTGGGCCCCCGGTGCCAGGTCAGGGGTGCACCACACTCCTGAGACAGGTAGCAGACACCAGCAGGGCTGATGCCTGCCAGAGAGCCAGGTAGAGGGGAGGAAGCCAGGCAGTGAGGAGGGGACTGGGCAGCAGAAACAAACTGAGGCAGCAGAGAAAAAGTGGGGAGGGAGGGAGGGTCCAGATGCCAAGAGCCCACCCCACCTTGCCCCTGCTCCTGCTCCTAGGAGGTGAAATAGGAACCTCACCCCCCACGGGCCCCCACTGTGCCCCCACCCACTCGCCTGGTCCCTGCAAGTGAGGTGGACTTATCCATCTGCAAACATCCGGGACTCACCCGGGCCACCTCAGAACCTATGACAGATCCAGGGTGAGACGCAGCACGGCCCAGTGGGGCCAGTGGAGAGTCACCCAGAGCCACGAGGCAAGTTCCACCGGGAAGCAGTGCGAGGCCCTGGGTTCCATCCTGGTGCCAGGCACAGCTGGGAGTGGTCTTGGGCCTCTGGCCGTGGTCCCGAAAGTAAACGTTCAAGAATGCTGATGGGGCCCCAGGAGTGCTCAGGCCTGGCATTGTGGGGCCCCCTTCAAGCCCAGGATGCCAGGGCCCAAACTCGGGGTCTCGTGCATGCAAGCCAGGAGCTCCAGCCCCTCCCTTTGTCCCCATGGCCCAATGTACATATGCATTTGTAATGGGGCTTTGGACTCTAAGCAGGCGCCTGGACCAGAGGAACAGCAGCCCGGGGCATCTGTCTCCCCACTTCGGGCAGAGACATGGAGGTGTAAGTCCATCATCACCACAACTTTTTCCTGCCTCTCTAGAGAAGCTGAAACTGCTGGCAAGGTCAGTGCATCTCCAGCAGTCCGGCGAGCCCCTGGGCGCGGCTGTCTCATTCAGGGCCCGGCTGGGAAGCCCAGCCCTATCTCCTTGTTCCGGTGGTGGCCAGAGCATGCCCACCAGGGCAGGCTACCCCAGCTGGTCACTCTCCTTATTTCCTGCTGAGGTCAGGGAAGCCCTTTCACTTGCCTCTGTGATAAGGCAGCCCTACCTTACTGCCTGCCACAACCCTGCAGGGTGTGGACAGCTGTATCTGAGGAAATAAGAAGGCAGGCGTGCGCTACTGGATTCGAGATGAAAGGGCAAGATGAAAGGGCCAGGCTTTGATAGCTGGGTCATCTCTCACAACTGTGGCCTGCGGCTTTCCATCAGTTCGTAAACCTTGCTGCCCGGGCAAGATCTACTATGACTAGGAAGTTTCACTGGCATCCTTCAGGATTTCTGCTTAGCTGAATGATCCCTCTAGGTCCCTTTGCAGGTTCAGTTTCCTGCTACAGCTCTTGATCGAGAGGCAGTGGGGCAGCGAAAAGACAAAGCACACACACAAGAGGCAGAGCCAATTCCAGCACGGATCTTACGTCTCTGAACCTCAGTCCCCTCATCAGTGATATGTGGACAATAATATCTACCTCTCAGGATGGTTGTAGGAACTGGACATCATACGTATAAAGAGAGCCGGGTCAGACGTTCAGAGAAACCGCTCAGAGGGCTGTGGGCCTAGCGTGTGCTCTGCATGTGATGAGCCGGGGCCAGATCCCTGACTCCACTGGGAGTGACCCACCAAGCACAGAGCCAGGAGTAGCCTCTGAGCATTGCTGGGTGTGACACAAAACAATCCAAACAGTGCCTGGCTCCATTAAGTAGGTTTGAGAAGAAGTAGATCCGTTATTACGTGCGCATGAACTCATACACAATACTAAGAACACACACTGACAACAATAAAGAGAAACCAAAGGCCACTGTAATGCAGAACAAAATGTAGGCATCAGATCAGAACCTTTCACACGAGTCAACATGTTTGAGAGAGTAAATTTGACTTGCAAGCTCCTTAATACCCCGTACACATGTGGAGATGTGTGTATGTGTATGTGCATAGGACTGAGTTATTTTAATCACTGTGATGGCATATACTTAACCGTTTGGGCCAATAAGGGTGGGTATATGCTTTAAGTGAATTGTCAAAACTTGGAAGAAAGTCTATCTTTTCTAACATGCCAATAATAAATCTGAGAAGACTTACTTATTAATAAGAAAAGACTTATCCATTTCTTATTAATAAAAGTCAGGAAAGTGTGGGAAAGGAAGTGCCAGACTAGACCTTACATGTCAAAAGGAGAGGTTTCTGGACAGTTCCAGAATGAACTGAAGAGTCCTTGTGCCAAGAAAAAGGGCAGAAACAGGTATAGATGCCCCCCAGGCACAGAGGGAGCGACCAGGGAAGTGGCTACACCGGTATCGTCTGTCCAGCTCATGTCACTCTGTGTGTGTGTGTGTGTGTGTGTGTGTGTGTGTGTGGTGGGGGTTAGGGGGTTGAAGACAGTAGCTAACACGAGGAATCCAGAGAGCCCAGTCACACAGACAGGCCACTGAGGACAACCATTGCTCGGGTCTCCAAAAGTAATCCTTCATTCACTGGACATGTCTTGAGTCCCAACTCTGTGCCAGGCGCCACACTCTGGGCTGAGGGCAGCTGGGTGAGACAAGCTGAGGCCCAACCCTCCAGGAATTCGGAGATGATGGGACGAAGAGGTGCAGAGACGAGACCAACCCACCTCAAAAACTGCCCTGACAGAGGTGGCTGAACCCGGGGGAGAAAGCATCTGCCGTCAGCGCTTGCTGTCGTGGCTGAGAAGGAGCACGGATCCCCGGAGACACAAGAGCTACCAGAGCCACAAGATCCACAGCAGGTCACGGGACAGGCAGCCCGGAGGCCCTCAGCATGGACATTGGTGGGGGCCGCGCTGCAGGCCACAGCCAGTCCCTGTGCAGAGAGAAGAAATTTCCAGGTCCACGGTGAGGGGTGGACGCTCACCCTGGGGACAGGTTGGGCCTGGGGACAGGACATTGTTAAGGCAGATGGTGAGACCTGTGTTCCTTACAGACCCACTTGCAGGCTTTCGGTTCTGGACTGAGATGGAACGGAGGCTCTTCTCCCGGTTCTCACGCTCACTAACCCCTGGGCTTATCTACCCCAAGGGAAGGGCAGGTGAGAGGGGGAGAGGAGGCAGCTTGGCTGGGACACTGGATCTGAGGGGAGGCACCGCAGTGAGCTTCCTGCTTCTCAGGCTGGGACCCCAGCAAGCCTGAAGTGACAACGGCCCCACAGAGGGTGGATGGAAGAATGGAAGGAAGGGAAGGCGAGAGGAGGAAGGAAAAACTGACTCTGCACGGCCAAAGGATCGAGGAAGGAGTAAGTGAGCAATAGCCCTCCATCGGCCCCAGCACTGGCTGGATCCCCACAGACGCAAAGTGGGAGCTGTTCATGAAGGGTCCCCCGGCCCCCGGTGGGAGTGCACCCCACCATAGTGTCAGGGAGAGAAGCCCCTCTCCCACAAGCAGGGGTGAGACACGTGCCTGGCAATGAGGGGCAACAGAGTCCCGGATTTCTCTCCAACCCCCCAGAAAGGGTGGGCTCACATGCTTCCCCCCTGCACTGGGGAGGAGGGGCGCATCCACACTGGCTTGGCAAGTGCCCCTGCTGGGCCCTCAGAAACCCCAGGTCACGCTCAGGGACCATGAGG